TGGGCTGGGAGGGCTTTTCCAACCTTTTCCAGCTGATCCTGGGATTTCACTCAGCAGGAGGAAAAGGCTTCTGGCACACAGGAAAGATAAAAGATCATCCCCCAGATAAATCATTCTGTTGTCCCTTCTCACATACCCACCAGAGCCCCTTGGGCACAGGGTGGACCCATGGGCTGGGAGGGCTTTTCCCGACCCCAATAATTCTGCAATTCATTGATTAAAAGGTGACTCATTTACCAAAACTCCATTCATTCCCTAAAAGGCGATTCCCTCACTAAAACCCTCCCTTTCTTTGCTCTTTGCACAAACCCCCCCTCAGACCCCGGGGCGGGTTTGCTGCCAAGACCCCCGACTGGAGAAGGGCTGTGGTGGCAGTTTGGGGGACAGCACCACCAGAGCCAACATCCAGGGGGATCGGGAACCTTCCCTATGGAGCAGAGGGAGCGGGGTTTGGGTACTCACTGGAGAGGCGGCTGGAGAGCTCGGCGGTGAGCGAGGACATGCCGCCGGCCCTGCCCGGCGAGATCGGCGTGGCCGGGTGCACCGAGGGCGCGGCGATGGAGCCCAGGTACTGGTAGGACTGGTCGTAGGACCACGGCGGGGACGGCTGCACCTGCCTCGTGTCTGCAACCAAAAAGAGACCTATAGGCCGTTGGGAAGGGCAAAACTTGGCAAAACCCTAAAAAACCTCCGCACGCCCCAAAGCGGAGCCCGAAGAGCGCCCCGGCGATCCCGTCTCGGCGCCGTCACCCCTCACTCTGTCAGGACATCTGTAAGTGAAGGGCTTTCTAAAATATTATCTGTATTTTTTCTAATTTTTTTTCTATTTTTTTCTATTTTTTTCCTAATTTTTTTCCTAATTCTTTTCCCTAATTTTTTCGTTTGCCGTTTCGCGTTAACGGCGGGAAAGGAAATAACTCGGGTTAGGATTTCCCAGGGGAAAAGCTGTTCCTCGCTGAGATGTGTCAGGATTTGGGGCACCAAAAAAAAAAATGCCCTGCAGGGCAGCAAGGAGGCAAAACTGCTGGACTGCCAGTGTTTCTCTGCAAGGGTGTAAATAGAGAGAGAAAAACTTGATGAAATCGTGTTTGTGTGTGAGAGAGAGACAGAGGTGGAGAGCGACACCAGTCCAGGTAAATCAGTTTATCTCCAGAAGGCAGATCAAGTGGGTGAGTAGGACTGGGGGACATGAATTCCTCAGCCTATGGAAAATCCCGGGCTTTGTGAAAGGAACAAGTATTTTATCCATTTGTTTTGCACACCCTAAAATATGGAAATAAGTTCAGAGTGATGGGTACAGGCAGGGAAACACAAATTTTAGAAGGACAAAGCCTCAAAACAGATCTATGGCACTGCTGGGCTGAAAATTGTGGAATCATGGAATGGTTTGGGTTGGGAAGGACCTCAAAGCTCATCCAGTGCCACCCCCTGCCATGGGCAGGGACACCTTTCACCAGCCCAGGTTGCTCCAAGTTTATCCAACCTGGCCTTGGACACTTGCAGGGATCCAGGGGCAGCCACAGCTTCTCTGGGAATTCTATCCCAGGGCCTCCCCACCCTCCCAGCCAACAATCCCTTCCCAACATCCCATCTAACCCTACTCTCTGTCAGTTCTAAGCCATTCCCCCTTATCCTGTCACTGCAATTCCTGCTGGGATCAGGCACTGTGTGAAAAACCTCCAGCCCTTTATTTTGGAGCCACACGAGGGGTTTGGCTGAGGTTTGAACTCAGAGGTTCACAGAGGTTGAACTCAGAGTTTCCCCAAACCAGTTGCATCGATGCAAACCCAACTCTTTCCCTGCTGATTTCCTCTTTGCAATTCCTGCTATTTTTCAGCCTATGGAAATGTCTAATTTTTTTATAAATCAAAAGAATCAGAGAGATTCCTCCTCTCCCCCCTCCCTTTACCTACCCAGTTTTTTTTTTTACTGTTTTTAGTAAATTCTTTTCTATTTTCTTCAGCTTTAAGAGCCACAGGTCCATCCAGATAATTGCCTTTATTGGGAAAAAAAAAAAAGCAAACGTTGGATGAACTGTGCTCAGATAAAACTGATATCAGCGTGGAAGGGAAACTTCCCAAGTCTGAGATGAGGGCTTTGATCTTCCATCAGAGAGCCCATCTGGAAAAAATTATTTTGTTGTTCTTGTGGGAGATGGGTTTTACATTTTGTTTGCTTCATCTGTTTACAAGGGGGAGGTTTATACAAAACTCCAAGCTTTTAAAAAGTAACCAGTGAAGTCTCAGACTGAACCGAAGTCAAGGGATTTGTTTTGCTAAGCAACGTGTTCAAACTCAGATATTGTTAATATTTAATTATTTCTTTTTTTCAGACGGGACTTCCTTAAAAAATAAAATCAGTTGGCTCGTGCTGGTTTAAAAGCAACATCCCAATTGCAGGGAATGGACTCCAGCAGGAACAAAAAGACACAGCACAAAGCCTGTAATGTTCTGAGCTGCAGCATCACCTGATTGTTAATGTATGGTCAGTGTTTATGGAAGATCACAGGGAGAGGGAAGAGGGAATTCAGTCTCCAGGGGTGGCATTAGGATAAATACCACAAAGCAGCTACAGAGTGAGCCTTGTGATGGTGTGACACCACATGTTTCAACTCTGAAACGGGGTTAATTAAGTCATTACTCTCTTATTTCAGCCTGAAATCCCAGATTTCAGTACTGCATCCAAGTACTGGAATCCTGGGAGTGGAATCCCAGCCATGGGATGGAAATTCCCTCGTCTGTTCCTCCCGCCCAGGGAGCCCTGGATGTCTCTGCCACAGGAACAGAGTCTCTCTCACCTCTCTGTCAGGGGCTCTGCTCAGCTGCATCCCAGAATCCCAGAATAATTGGGGTTGGAAAAGCCCTCCCAGCCCATGGATCCCCCCTGTGCCCCATCCCCACCTTGTCCCCCAGCCCAGAGCACTGAGTGCCACGGCCAGGCCTTCCTGGGACACCTCCAGGGCTGGGCACTCCAAACCTCCCTGGGCAGCCCCTGCCAAGGCCTCACCACGCTTTCCATGGAAAAATTCCTCCTCCTGTCCAACCTGAGCCTCCCCTGGCACAACTTGAGGCCATTTCCCCTTCTCTTGTCCCTTGTTCCCTGGGAGCAGAGCCCGACACC